ACCTCTAACTAGACACGTTCTTGTCTGTTCTTGACCTCTAAATGGTCAAACTATAGCTAGATTTGGTGTTGAAAGGGTTTAGGGACATGATTTTTCTGGGCATCTTACCATGATAAAACTTTGATCGAACAGACCAATGAGGTGAATTCTAAGAAATAATGTCAAATTCTGTGTGAGGAAGACGAATAAGGGTACCGGGCAAAAGAGAGAGAAGAGAGAGAGTAGAAGATTACATGAAACCCAGCGAAGATGAGAAAGATTGGATTTTGGGTCCAAATCATTCCCGCTTCTTGCCGGTCATGCCAGCAACCACCTGAAAGGTTCAAACAAAAAGTCAAAACATTATATTGCTTCAAGGCAGGATGAATTTAAAACTAATAAGTGTTTTGGTAAATTACATTTCGAAGAAAAAAAAATATTCCAACTCACATCCTTGAGATCTGGTTGTGGAACCTGTTTTGCTGATTCCAAGGAATCCAATATAGGCCTAACCACAGCTGGAAGAAAAAGGCCTGGAGATTGCAAAAATACAAAGGATCAAGAAACATGAAAATCATTTGCACAAATTTTAACACAAGTCCTGGCCCAATGAATCAGATTGCATTGTATTCTCAAGCATTGACAACAGAGGCAACCAAGAATCGATAATTCAATTATAATAAAATCAATATTTATTTCCTCATGGCATCTCCTGAACTGTGATCAGGTATGAGAGCTGCAAGATAAACTTCACGTTACGCAAACATTCGGAGTAATAAAAGTTGAGGAAACATAAGGCGTTTACTGAAGATCCGAATAAATGCCCAATTAATATAAGGAGCAAACTAGCTTGTATAGCCGATCATTTACTCTGTTCCTTGACTCGCTTATGTTAAAAGGTAACCAGGCATTGAAAATAGATCAACTTGCCCTCATTACTGAATGCTGAAAAAGTTGGAGTGATGGATTCATTCTCCTCTTAGCACTGGGCTAATTCACCCCGCTCATATTCCTTACAGAGAAACTCGATAATATTAACATCTTAGAAATTATAAAATATGTTCATCCAGGTAATTCTCGCCCATCATCAGACTCTTACACTGATAAAAGATCTACTAGTTGAAACCACTGCGTAGTTCGTCAATAGCTCTCACTCCCTATGTGATTTACACCGACAAGAACCTGTATCTTACTGAGGGAAGAGTAACCAGTGAAGAGGGGGCCTACAATGGATAGACACATATACCTGAAGAGGTGTGGGAACCAACAAACAGAACTCGTGCACAGTGACCACCCGGTAATGAGGGGTGATCTCTCAACGAAATACTACTTCAGTTGCGGACATACATTGGCACTAACCAGTATCCCAACACACAAGGCCTCAGAGTGTGATGGAGACATTGTTCTTAAATATGGTTACCTATGTGCAAATTTTCTTCCCCTTTACACATCACTTTCTGCATTTATGAGCAAGCTAAAGCTATTTTGAGAGTGTAAGTTTCAATCTGCTTCTAATTTTTTCTTTTGGCCACTGAGCATTCGGTCTGCGGATGTTTCAATACGGCCGGATATATTTTCATTTGATGCAATAATAAACGCAATAGACACCGCTCTTAGCGCCCGAATGATTTTTAACTATTGAGAAAGGGCATCATTCCAACCAGAGAATGCGCATCATTCACGAAATCCGCAACCTAAATAAAATAATCGACATCTAACAGACTGCCCGCGGGAAATACAATCCCAAATCCTACAAATCCATTTCCGCGGGAGGTAAATCAGTACTAAATCTCCACCAACTGGAGAAGGCATAAACCAGGAAATCCGATCGGCGATCCACAGAAAAGAGACCACGGAAAGCTATCAATGGAAGCGAGGTTAGGGCATCCAAGGAGTTCGGGGAAATTGATAACTTCCATCCACTATTTCACTACCGAATCCGGCGATGAGGCAGGAAGCCGCGACGACGGGCTCCTGCGCCACGAACATCCTCAGCCTCTCCGCCACCCCCATCTTCTTCCCCTTCGATATCTCCCTCCGCCGCTGCCACTGCCACTGCTCTGCGAAACAGACACTCAAAAAGTCTGCATGGTACTTTAAATACCGAGTACCACTGCGTTATATTTAACATATTGGAATTCCTAATTTTTCTAGCAATTTTTTATTAAGTATTTAATTAATATTATATGAGGTAAATATTACATCAGTGAGGCTTCAGGCAAGAAGACGGGGTGGGTCCGGCCCGAATTAACAGGAATCGGACCGGAACGGCCCGGTTCAGAATTTACGCGGGCCCAACCCCCCCTTCCCCTCCTAACAGCAGTACCTCCCTGGCCGGAGAGGTTTGTTAGGGTACTTCCCGCTGGAGCTTCTGATCTCTGCTCTGCGCACTTCTAGCAGTATCTCATCGGATCATCTCCTCTCCCTTACGACGAATCCGTCTTAGCTCAGCTGTTGGGTGCTGATCGCGGGGGCAATCTTGCCTTTGGTATTGTCCGAGGGCAGAATCGTTTCGACTGCGGGATCCGGCAATGGTGAGGAGGCGATCTTTCCTTTTTAGGATGTTGGGAATTTTCCGGCGGTTGGGCGATCGGGAGGGGATTTCAATGCTGACTGATTTTTAAAAATAAATTGCCGCAGTCTGCGCTGTTTAATTTCCACTCCTTTCTCACGGTTGTGCTGCTGGTGATATGCACCTGCACCTTCGTCAAGATGCAGTTCCCAACCTTTCTGGAGCACAGAACTGGGTATCTACTTATCGATGCTTCCTTGATTAATTCAATCTCTTTTTCGGTTAAATCCTTGCTTCGTATTCTTTTTCTATGAAAATTTTAGCAAATGGTTTTTCTAAAAGGGATTAGATCATTTTGGGGAAACGTCTGTCGTCCCCTTCAATGATTTTTTTTCGAACGATAAGATAGCTGATATCTCCTCCTGGTTTTACTGTCGTTTATTCGCAATTCTGTTTTCAATCCTGGGTCAATAAGTAGGTGTCCGTCTCCTAAGCGCTTCTTTATTTCACAGACTAATGCCTTGGCCTACAGATCTTAAACACTTGCGTAAGTGTTAATTACTGGTACCTTTATTTATGGGATAAGGGGCTTGACACTCAGTAAAAAAACTGTCACTAACGGAGTTCTCCCTGAAATTAAGTCTCATAATTTGATCAATTACTTATGTTTGGTGGACACTGGAAAATATGACTAGGAGGAATCTTATGTAATCTCTAGATGGAATCAATGCAAGCTCATTTATAAACTTGCATGCTCAAATCTGTGGTGAGATGGAATTAGTGCAAGCTCATCTATATACTTTCATGCTCTAATGCATGGTGATATGGCTGCAAAGAGCTCACCCTTGGAATGTCTCTCAAGTCCCAAAAAATCGTGGGAAACTCTTGGTTAGCATCCAGCTATAGAATCGGTTTCATTGCAACGTATGTGCTTCATTCTGTAGAATTTTTTTTTCTTTCTGTATGATGAGTTTAAGAAACGGCAGGGATCTGTACATCTATCAAGAAAAAAGTTTACCATCTTTAATTACTGGATATGTTGGGCTCCAAATCTCGGTTCTTCACCCCTAGATGAGCGGATCCTAGATCTTTATGATCTTCCCTGTTCTATTCTAAAGCTCCAGTTTTAACCAAAATGGGAAATGATCATTGGAGCCGCAGTAAATGCATGCTGCAATTCAGTGCCCGCTTTCTCATGCCAGCGTGTGTGTGTGTGTGTTTACATCGACGGAGCATTGAAACTGCTTTTGTTTATGCTAGAGAGAAGACATCACTGGGTATTCTGGAGGGGATATTTGTGTCTTCAATGAGGTTAAAATTACTTGTCCTATCTAGAACTGATTCGAGGAAGAGTCATGAGATGTGTTTTGAGTTTGTCCATCAGATCTTGGGTCGGGGCAAGATCTGATTTCTTTAGAAGCAACCGTAGAAGGACCTTGCAAAGCTCATGTTCCTACGCTGGATCATATATTTCCCAAAAATGTCGGAGAAGGGGAGAAGAGAAGAAGCTTCTGTCTTCATCTTCAATCAAAATCAAAACGTTTCTTCTTAAACCCTTTTGTATCAATTTGACGAAGAAGAATCTTCCGGTTCCACTGTGTCGTTATTTGGGCCTGAGGAAACCAGGTTCATGAGCCCCAAAAACGAAAAGCACCCTGGAAAAGTGAAAGAGTTTTCATTCCTAGGTGATTATATTTCCTTCTTTTATGATTTGCCCATCATATAAACCATGTCTGTTAGGGAAATTTATTTCTTGAAATATTTATTTCTATGACTCACTATGATAACTTTATATTCACCAATGTTCTATAAAAATATACGAAAGCACCAGCCCTTACACATCATGGACTACTTCAACTGGGGCCACCAGGAGAGACTAAATTGAAGAGAGTTTCCTGATTTAGTAACATTCCTACTGCATTATGATAGAAGGCTACAAGATTTTACCTTTTCTTTTTTGGATTATACGGAGCATTAATCCTCACAGAGCCTGCAACCTTGACAGATTCCGTGGGTTCTTCTGGAAGGCTGCAAGAATTGGTGCTTCCCTCATCACTAAACAAAAACTTTATTTATTTATTTACCAGTTATTTTGCTATCTGCTTCAGCATCTGAGTTGTTTCTGATGGGTACTTGATCAGGTGAACGGTTGAGCCCCTGGGTTGCCCTGGGATGCTTCGCAATGGGCATATCCTTCATAATACTCTGAGCAGTACCAACCTGTTCATCTTGGACTCGATGAACTCAATGTTTCTCTTCGTCAAGTAGCCATCTTTAGTCTCTTGGTTCTGATGTTTTGAACTGTTGGCAGCTGTGACTGAGATAGCTAAACCAAGAGGGTTTATTATTCCTCAGATACAGGACGTCACTCTGGAACCTCCCCCCCCAAAAAAAAATAATTCTGGAGAAAGTCAACGGGGGCTGAACCCACTCTGTCCTCGCTGACCTTCACTTCTCGTGAGTCTCTGGCGAGGGGTGCAGCCGATTTGGCGGCGCAGGCCCCACCTTCTCAGCGTCTCCGTTGACCACCACCTCGGCCGAGCCCGTCCCATCCGCTCCCCGCCGCCTCTCCGCCATCTTCTCCCTCGTGGACTTGTAAAAGACGGCGTGCAGCGCCAGCTGAACCGCCGCCAATAGCACCCCGAGGCTATTCGGAATCTGCCAAATCATGTTAGATTAGAGCAGAAGTAAACATATCATTGAATGTGGACAGAACGAGTGAGGGTCGCTCACAGTGATGAAGAGGTCGAAGCGGATTAGGGCGTAGGAAGTCCAGCAGACCCCGTTGAGGAAGGAGGCGAGGGACAGGCCGAGCGGCAAAAACTCCACGCTCTTCGTCTCCAGCACCAGCTTCTGCAAGGGAGAGTCGTCAGATCCGCCATTAAAGCTGAGCTTGAGGCTCGTATGTACTGGGTTTTGCGGTGCTGACCATGACGGAGAGCGGGGCGGCGTACATCAGCGTGCCGAAGAAGACGCAGAGGCTGCCGATGACGAGGGAGCGGCGCTGGTGGGTGTGAGCGAGCGTGAGGACGATCGCCGCCGCCGCCACGACGAAGAGGAGCTCCGCCAGCAGGGCGGCGAGAACTCGCAGGCGCTGGCGGCGGGTGGAGTGGAGGAGGAAGAGGAGGACGTAGGCGAGCTCGACGGCGGCGCCGGTGGCGTTGATCGTGAGGACGAGGGTGCTATGTGGGTGCACGCAGGGGAGCCCGTAGAGCACCCACAGCATGCAGTTGAGGAGGCTCGCCAGGTACGGCGCCGGCGAAAACTGCTCCACCGACTTGTTCCTGCATATGGCCGCGAACGTCGGCCTGGTAAGATAGAGAGAAACCTTTAGAGAGAGAGAGAGAGAGAGAGAGAGAGAGAGGTCGTTCCATGCTGAGGAAGAAGGTCGGCGGTGGCTTACACCGGGGAGAGGAACAGCCCCAGAGACACCGTGTTACCTGCGTCAGACGAGAGCTGGTGAGCTTTGTGTGCTAAGTCGGCGAATTCTAGTGAGAGAATCTGACCCACCCAAGATGCCAACCACGGTCCTCGCTTGGCCTGCAGAAACCATGGCTGCTCTATGCGTTTCTCCGATGACGACGCCAACGACTGGAAGGAGGACCTCTCTCTCTCTTTCTCTCTCTCAAATAAGTTCCTCTCTAGGTCCGAATAAACCACGGCTGTTGGATTAAAACCTGAAGAAAGGTGTTCAATGGGTCTCTCCAGCCGGCCAAGGAGACACCTGAGAGGAGCCCACTCCCTCCCGCTCTCTCTCTCTCTCTCTCTCTCTCTCTCTCTCTCTCTCTCTCTCTCTCAGTGGGATTGTCATTAGCCATTAATGGTTTCGGGAGGACTTCCATGGGGATTGGTGAGGGTGGAGGGGAGAGAGGAAAGGCTCCCCCTTGGAAACACGCCGGAGGGACCCCTAGTTCCCTCTTCTCCAACCCCCCATGCAGATATTGTGCTCTTCGTAACAACTCGAACGGGCCGGGCCGGGGCAGATCGGACTTAAGTGGAGCCCAGTTGGAAAGCCTACATACGCCTCCTCTCCCCAAGCTCCTCAGTTCAACTACTTGTGATACGGGCCGGGCCGGATGGGAGACAGATTTGAGCCCGTTTTAAGATATTTCCAGAGAGTACTAAGGATGCTGGACGTGCACGTGTCTTAAGAAGATTCGTGCACGTGTATGCATCCTGGACGTGCAATGCGCCGCGTCTGTGCATGACCATGGGCTACAACACTCCCCCAAGCAAGCACCGTGTGACAGTCCTTCACGCCTGTGATGCGGAGAGAGAAAGAGTGAGTGAGTTAGAGAGAGAGAAAGACAGATAGAGTGAGTGAGGAAGAGAGAGAGAGAGAGAGAGAGAGAGAGAGAGAGAGAGAGAGAAATTGGGCTGCGGTGGCTCATCAGATCGGATAAAGAGCTTCGAATGGGTATAAAAATAAATTTTGTGGGATTTTATACATCGGTATTTATATTTCCGTGGGTGCGAAAATTTCTTCAAAAGCACCGCCACTTGCCGCCTCAGTTTCTTCCGCGGAAGTCAACCGAAGATTTCACTGCTGCTCGTAGTCCGGTTTAATAGATTTCATCGCGGCATGCGTTGACTCCGATCCACGGAATTCGACCGCAGTAGTTATGGGCCCAATTTATTTGGGCTTATAATGGGTTTTGGTGGATGACGTGGGCTTATCCGAACTGACCATTTCGGCTCATTTAAGAAGACCTACACTTGCTGCTGTGCTGCTGCCTCAAAGCGGCCAGGTTCCTCTCTCTCTCCTGAGAGTTTCATACCATGGCCGTCTCCCTCTCCGACGGGCTGTGCCGCCATCCTCTCCCACGGCTCTCCTCTCCAAAAGCCATAACCGTAACCTCTCTCTCTCTCTCTCTCTCTCTCTCTCTCTATCTATCTATCTATCTATCTATCCATCTATCTATCTATCTATCTTCCCGTAAATGGCGAGATGACGGGGAAGGAGCGGTTCCTGATGCCTCCTTGTTCTCCTTCGAATGTTTTCCTTGTTGCAGGGGATAACGGGGAACCCATCGCGTCTCGTCGTTGTCTCTGCAAGGGCGAGGGTGGAATTCCTCGTCTCCCGTGTCCTCGTTCTGTCTTCTTCTTCTTTCCTTCTTGACGGGTCGTCCGGATAAGATGATTATATTTCTTTTGCACAGGAAGCTCCGGGGAGCGGTGGGAATGAGAGGAGAGTGTGGAGACGTCGGAAACTGGTGCGGATATTTTTCTCAGTAATCTCTCATTCTGTGTCATTTCGATTGATTTCGAAAGGGATGTGATGCCAAATATAATACCCAGATGGATTTACATCTCGTAGCTTGATTTTCTCCCCTCAAAGTGGCCATTTATGATGTATCGCATCGATTGAGACCATATCCTCTTGTTTTTATAGAGTTTTGGGTCTCTGTAGTTAGGGAAGAAATATGATGCGCTCTTGATTTATCCGATTTCAATCGCCTATGATTCTATGATTCTCGCGCTGAGTTGCCAAAATCTGCTTCTTTTTCAAGTTATTATCTCTGATCCATCCAAAAACTGAGCTGTGTTCTTGATCTACAGAGCAGTTGCTGCTGCAGTCCAAGATCAAGCAACTGACGATGATTAAAAAAAGGAAACTCATCTGATCTCATGACCGAATCAGCCCTTTGTACCATCTGATCACTTGGGGTTTTGTTGCATGAGGAGGCACAGAGAGGCTGCCACTCACTCGACGAATTAAAAAATGATTAATTTGATTAATTAGGGTCGTAATTCCCTGAATCAATTTTATCGCCGATCTTGGATGAGATCGGGCATCTCTCAAGCTGAGCCTGATCTCTTGCTGTTCTTGATTCGATTAGCTTGCCCGAACTGCAAGAATGGGGGATGAACTCTCTTGAGTGATCAAAAGGTTTTGAAAGACAACATTGGATCTTGAACAGGATTCGCACTGTGACCCGAGATTGATTTCATCCCATCTCGTTTTTTTTTTTCTTTTTTTGGTGTTGATTGGGAAATAGATGTCGATTGAGTTGGTGGGTTTCTGGGAATCAAACGCAGATTTCCTTCTTGGGAAATTTCTGCGAGAATCTAGAATGAAACCCACCAAAATCTCAAATATTTTGCTGTGGATTGAAAAAAAAAAAAAAAAAAGGTCTTTGAGTCAGATTTCTTCGAGTTGGGTTCATCAGCTTAAGTGAGTGTTTATTTTTGGCAGGCGAGGACGGACGAGAAGATGAAGTACAAGATGGACCGGATCCCGTTCCTGGAGGAGCAGATCAGGAGGATCCGGGAGAACGGGAACATCCTGTCAATGGACATTGAGAAGATGATGCTGTCGGAGGAGAACCGGTTTGACTTTGTGAACCAGGTGGCGGCGGAGGCGACGGCGTACGTTCAGGCGGACCCCGACGAGTACGGCGGGAAGAAGGCCATCCTGCATGTCCTCAGCAACCGGATGAATGACGCCGGATTCCCACGCTCTGAGGCGTACGTAGAGAGGGACCCGTTCAAGCCCGGGCCCACCTACCTGAGGGAGGAGCTGTGAGTTGATCGGCCACCGCCGCCGACGACAGACTATTGCTTGTTTACTCGGCTTGCTTCTCTCTCTCTCTCTCCCTTGTGTCTTCTTCGCTCGCTCCTCTACTTGCGCCCGCCAGCGCCATTCTCCTACACAGAGATAGATAGATAGATCGATAGATAGATAGCGAGAGAGAGAGAGAGAAGTGATGGGTTATAGGAGCTATGATCAGGTTTATATCGATAATGGGTCGCCATTGATGGTCTGATCCAGTTCACATATAGGCCGACAGGGTTGGACAGGCCTATTTTTAGAAGGTTTCGTTGGCTTAGAGAGAGAGATGAGGGTTACCCATTTCTTCGTAACAATGTTAGGCCCAATCAAGATACTTCCTTCTCAGAGAAAAAACTACTCTTTCTCTCTCTCTCTCTCTCTCTCTCTCTTGCACACACACGAACACGCGGCACCAAGAGAGAGAAGGCAGGGGAGGGCCCCGTCATGAACAAGAAGAAAGGCCTTACATTGTACATACAGAGCTCTACAAGAAAGACCACCGCAATGGGATATATGCCTGGGATGTATCTCTAAAATGTGACCACAACTCTACTCTCATAACCTTGGTATGCGACAATATATGTTCATGTAAATATGCGGATCATGCAGACTGTTGGAAGACCACCGACTCCTGATTGGGGAAACATGCAATCACAGATTGGGGAAGAAGAAGAAGGGGTGGGGGGGACTATGCAAGACTCTCTGCCAAAAAATTCCCAAGGTTGGGAGAGAAAAAAGAAAAAGAAAAAGGGGCCTAGAGATTTATGGTCACCCACATCCTCCCCCCACACCGGAGTTCATCTACAAGCTCATGAGATCATGAAGCAGAACCCTGCATTTCTACAAAAAGTGATGCATGATCCACAGGAGGGGAGGTTGGGGGAGGAAGAGCTCACCAAGATCCATGGGTTGAGGCTGGATGCGATGCCATGCCATGCTGACTGAACTGACGCCAATGCCCGATGATGCATATACCGATGTTTGATGTTGGTGATGATGATGATGACAACCTCCTCGCCGATCCCCTCCGAACCCCCCCCCCCCCTTCTTCCCCGGAGGGTGATTCCGGCCTGCTATCCACAGCCCGACCTGGTTGTGGACACGATCCAGGAGTCGACGCCCGACCGCCTCAGAAAGCTCCGCCGACGAGCTGCTGATGCATGACGACGACTGACACAACAGAACATGACGCTTATGCATGGAGAGACCCAAAGAGCCACCAGAGATCGTCCGGGGGGTCAACCGGAGATCGCCCGGCCGACGGCAAGCTTGGCCCAATCGGCAGACTCTTGGATCAGGTGGTCACCGGACGACAGGCACTCGTTGAGGAAGTCCTTGCCCGCGACCGACTGGCCGATCAGAGCTGCCACGCTGCGGCCCAGCGTGTCGGCAAGGTCCCCCAGCAAGCCGATGGCAGTCTTTGTGACGACCTCGTCCCTGGTCAAACCAGAGAGAAGATTGGGGTCGTCGTTCAGTCGGTGAGAGAGGAAGTGAGGGGGGCTGTAGAAGAAGCTTATGCAGAAGAGAACTCACATGTCCTTCTCCATGTAGAGGCTGTCCAGGTACTGGAGGATGTGGGGCGCGTAAGGGATCAGAAGCTGGGCCTTGGCGGAGCTCTTGAACCCTTGAAGGATCCCCGAGTAGGCCTCAAGGATCCCGTTCCTGAGCTGGTTTGTGAACTCGAGCATCTCCTCGTCGCCGGTGGGAACGTGCACTGTCAGATCCGCCGCGCTCTGGAGCATGGGCATGGCGTAGATGAGGTACTTCTCAAAGCTCTCGCCAATGGCCAGGGCGATGTCCCCAAAGCAGGAGAACATCGGGGGCTTAACTGAGCGGTGGAGCTGGCTGCTTGAGAGGTCTTTGAGGATCTGGGTCATGATCCCGTCGCAGAAAGGAAGGATCTGGTCCTCCAGCGCCCGGCACAGGTCGCCGACCACACCGACAGTGATGGAGCAGACTTGGTACTCCTCAAAGTTCTGGAGGCCCTTCTCCAGGTAGGGGTAGAACCCCGGCAAGTACTTGATGAAGCCCGCCCCATTTGCATAAGCAAGGGCCCCAATGGCGAGCATGGCCTCCTCGTGGACGGTGGCATTCCTGGAGACGAAGACTCGGAGGAAAAGATCCATCATCTGGTCAGCGTACTGCAGGAAGGCGTGCTTTGAGGGCTCCGCCGAGCCGATCTTCTGAATGATGACCTGCAGGCAGCCGCAGAGGAGGCCCTGCAACTCGCCCTGCTTCTCCGGTGCCTCGAGGGTCTTGTGGAGCTCAGCCATGATTAAGGGGACCAGCTGCAGGACAGTCAGGGCCGTCTCGTCAGTGGAGCACCTGACAACCTCGTTGAGGGTCTCGTATGCGGCTGTGCGGAGGCGGGACTCCCCCGCGTCCTCTCTATGGGTCACCGCCAGGAGAGCCTGCACAATGTCGAGGAAGAACGGGGACAGAGGAGAGCCGGCACCAGCATCCTCATAACCTTGGGCGAGGAAATATAAGGCACCGCAGGCCTTCTCGGCCACATTAGGTGCATCCTTCATGCTGTGGAGCAGGACCGTGAGGATCTGCTGGCAGTTCTCCCGGGTAATCACAGGGGCCTCCATTGCCGACCCGTGGAGGAACTCGAAGATCCTCCCGAGGGTCCACGCTGTGGTGTCCTTGACGTGGTTGTTCTGGTCCTTCATCAGGGCCGCCAGCATGAAGTGCAGTGCGTGCTTGACGATGTCTGTAAGCTTGTCCGGGGATGGACCCTCCAAGATAGAGCCAAAGGCATATGTCGCCGCCTCCCTCCGCCTCCAATCGGGCTTGTCGATGTTCTCCTGGATGAAAGGCATCACCAGAGGGACGATGTCGTCCCCCACAGTCCGAGCCACCAGGCCCAGGCAGGTGCCGCCAGCCATTGACAGATTCCACGCCCCTTCATCCTGATCCTGGTCTTCCTCCTGCTTGAGCAGCGTCTCCAGGAGCATCGGAACGAGTGCTGGCAGCGCCTGCTTGATAAAATAAAGGCAGGTGACCTCGGAATCCGCAGTAAGATCGCTGCCATAGTCGTCGAGGATGTCAATCTCCTCGTCACATATCGAGCTCCACAGCTCAATGGCCTGGAGGGCAACGGGCTCCTCGTCTTCCCGGACTGCCTTGGCAGTGATGCTGAATATGTCCTGCATGTAGGACGCCAGCTTCTCGTAGTACATGGAGGAGATGGAGACCAAGCACTCGAACGCCGCCTGCCGGATCTTCACGTCGGGGGAGAGGGTGGCCTCACAGACGACCCTCATGATGTAATCCCGCTCCAGATCGTTGGAAAAGTTCACCTGGGCGAACCCCAGAGCGTTGTGGAGGGCCCGAGTCGCCGCCAACCTGACCTCAGCAGCCCCCTCTCCTGCTGTCATCCCCTGAACCACAGCCGTAAGTATCTTATTGACCTGATCCTGGTCAACGACGTCAGCAGCCACTTCTTCGCACAGAAAGCCCAGTGTGTCCAGAGTGGCCTGCTTCACGTGGGGCTGAAACTGGTGGATGTTCGTCAGGAGGGAGCTGATGAGCTCAGGCCACTGGTTGTGCGGCAGCTCAATGCTGGCAATCTTGGCGATCACCTGGGAAGCTGTAGATCTTGCATCAGCGACGGGGGAGAAGAGGGTCTGCAACAGGTAGCCTTTGACCTGGGCCTTCACGGCCCCATCTAGTGATAGCCATCTCTGAGTGAGCTCCAATCTCCTGTGATGCTCCTTTGCATCTAACGCGTTCTTCAGGATCAATCCTGCCAATTTGCGGCTGTCGACCGGCTTGTCGTTGTTCGCTAGCTCGCCAGAGAGCGCTAGAGCGAATCCCGGGAGGTTCTGCTCCTGAAACTGCTTCAAATTCTCTTCGGCGTGTTTACGGGCTGTGCTATCTACCGACTGCGCGTTCAGCAGGACTTGGGTGACCTCCATCGCCATTTCCTATCTGAGGAGAAAAGATCCGTCACTCAATGGATAAACCTGGATTCTTAGAACAGTTCACTACACATCTCGGCAGAAAAAGTACTAAAGATGAAGCGGGAAGAATTAGAACCGGCTTGGAGCGTCAAACGCGCGATCCTTTAAAGAGGATGTGGATGATCCAAGAAAGGAAGTGACTGAAGTTATATGAGGACGATAATTTTGATGAAACAAAGTGATTGTAGTCGTTTGAGATTTGCCTGGAGAGGTCAGCATGCAAGGAATGAGGGATCAAAGCGAGCACAGCATACTACGGATCTAAACTGGATTAATCATGTATCTTTACGTATCCATAGAAGCCAATACTCGACGGGGGCATCAAAAGGCTCCTAGCTCTGGAATCATCAGAGAAAGCGTATGCATCGAAAATGGTGGGGAACAAATATGGACACAACAGAAGAGACAGAAACCCTGAAGATATCGGGCCGCAAACATCAGATAATCCCCGATTCACGACCGTAACACCGATTGGCCGGGGAAACAGCAGAATCCTAAAAAAAACCCGCCAAAGATCGGACAAAGCCCCCCGAAAAGGACCTCCCCGGGGCCGTCGAAGATCAAATCAGAGCCAGAACCGGAACCAACAGAGCTCGACTCGGAAGAACAGCACCAAATGCCGAGGAAACAACCGATGAGATGCAATTTTCTTTTAAAAAAAGAGTATTCCGTAAGACATACATAGATTTGAGCACTCCTCTCCCCCAGACGCGTCCCACCGGCGATCGCGATGCGGGGGCGGGCCCTCGCTGGGAGAGAAGCGCGTGGGGAAACCCTAGGAGAGAGAGAGAGAGAGAGAGAGAGAGAGAGAGGAAAGGGGAGAGATGTCCAAGAGGAGGGGCAAGTAGAAGCAGGCGACAATTGTAAAGCTGGATTTGCCCATTTACACCGCGCGCATCGAGCTTCCAGTTCTCCCTTCTCATTATTTTATTGCCATTATCGTCACGTCATTCAATCGTTTCCGACACTTTTTACGTATAAACCCCCAAAACAGTCATATATAACTAATAAACACCCAAAGTAATGAAATTAACTAATAATTATGCCTACGTCATCTTGGACCCAGAGAGAGCCCATGGGCCCTAGACCACGCCGAGCCCAGTGCTACGCTCGGACCCAGTCCTGGCCCACGATTGGTTCACAACTTGTGCCGTCCGACTATTCATATTTATCTTAGCAAATTTTATTTATTTAATTAATTGCAAACGAACGTAGAAAAAGAAAAAAATGGAGGTAATGATTAGCGAAGCAGACGTAGCCGGCCTGGGATGCGTGGCTTCTCCTGATTGGTTATGAGCCCAATTTTCTACGTGGTAACCTCTCCATCTCTCTCACTCTCTCTCTTGCCTCGTTCTTGTCCGTACTACACAGCGAGACCGCCGGGCTTATTACAGATGATCGTTTATTTTCGAATAGAAAGTAGTCAAATAATTGGAGGGTGGGATCGTGTGGTCGCCGTCCACACACCCCTGATAACAATAATTCAGGAAGAGAGAGAAACTAGTCCAAGGGACTGACCTTGACTAATGAGGGTAAGGTCAACGTGATGGTGCCCGTCATCCCCCATTTAGTGGCCGCCATCTGCCCTTCACTTGCCGCCCTTGGCGTGCCTCCTGCAGAAGGCCTTCAGACGGAGAAGACCATCCTCCAGGGAAGACGGCTCGACGGCGAACGTGATTCGAAGCCAGTTCGGCAGCCCCACGGTGCTCCCTGCACATTTTTGGATGTCCACTCAGGTGTTTGATACAGATCACTGCAAGGCAATTTTTTTTTTGGTGTGTTCTTGTTTCAATTCTTGGGTGTTCTTGAATTCTTTTTTCTCTGACAAATGGTCAACGTCATCTGGGTTCGAATCCTACTGAAAGGTCCACAAGAGATCAGACCTGGTAAAATAATCAGAGACTCTTCTTTGGCCAGCTTGCAGCAGAAGTCAACGTCGTCGGTGATATCTTGGAGACGGGATAAGTCCAGTTCCACCTGCATTGAAGAGCGCAGCATTTCAGAGGACGATCCTTTGAGAAACAGCGGCTCTGGATCGGGCCTCACCAACATAAACATGGATCCCTCTGCTTTGTGCCGGCAATGGAAGCAGCCCATCTCCTGTACTCTGTCGTAGCACATGCTCCCCATTTGCCTCAGCAAGGATATCATCTTGTCGAAGAAATCTTGAGTCGTGTTCTTGATGATTTCAGGAATCGCCCCCTGATGCAGAGACCAAGGCTTATATCTCGGTGAGTATTAGAAATGCAGAGAAAATGCAGAGATTTCATGAGGGAATGGGCTCCGACCTGGATAAAAGTCACGGGCTCTGAAGTGATGCTGAGGTATTCATTGATGTACTTGACGATCTTCAAACGAGACAGACAGCGGAAGAACAGCCAGAGTTAGAATCTGATCGATCCGCCGGAGAAATCTAAGCAAATATTACAACATGAAAGTGATGATATATCGATATAATCCAATATTTGCCATAAAAAAAGTTTATACAGATTGGGACGTGATCATGGTGTTCATGGTTGATTCCGCAGTTTTTAGTAGATCACAGAAAGATGCAGCAGCCACCCATAAATCGCCCCGCAATTCACTGATTTTTTTCTCATTCCAACTGCGCATGATGGGTTCCTTGGGATGATCAGCATCCAGATGACATCCCATTTTGATCATACAAATATGCATGGAAATGCTCGCATTGCTGATAATCATGGATGCGATTGCTGTGAAGTACCTGCGCGTCCTTGAGAATACCGTCTGGATCACAGGCAGCAATCCACCCCAGCCGCCAACCAGGCACCGCCCATCTCTTTGAGATAGATCCAATTGTGAGGACAGGAACTACGGACCCGAAGACTCCCATCGGCACAAAGGGATTATTCCCAAACACCAGATGGCCGTACACCTCGTCGGCTATGATCATGATTCCAAGCTTTCTCGCCGTCTCTGCGACCTGAAATGGGGGAAACGAGGATTGACCTGGACAGAAGAAGAAGAAGAAGAAGAAGAAGAAGAAGAAGAAGAAGAAGAAGAAGAAGAAGAAGAAGAAGAAGAAGAAGAAGAAGAAGAAGAAGAAGAAGAAGATCTACCGGTGTAAATCACAGACCTTCTCCAGATGGCCATAGCTCAGGACACTCCCGGTAGGATTCCCGGGGTTTATGATGACCATCCCTGCTGTGCGGTCGTCGGCTAGGGCTTCCACGGCATCGAGATCGATTTCCCAACCCCTGTCAGGTAGGAGATCGAAGTAGCGGACCTCGACCCCGCTGAACTGGGCTCTAACTTCATAGAAAGGGTAATAAGGCCTCGGGAGCAAGATGTTGGCCCCGGGACGAGCGAGGACAGAGATCACAGTTTCGATTGCATGGAGGCAGCCCATCGTCAGGAAAACATCATCGGGAGTTAGCTGATAGGGGAGATCCCGGGAGAGGTATTCAGCCACTGCCCTGGAAACAGGGAAAGATATGTGAGAACAGATCTTACAGGAAAGAAATCTGGAACCATTTTCGACGAGACAACCGTCTGGAGGGGACGAGGTTGCGAGAGCCGCCATAGCAGTTGTAATCGCCGGATCGGACGGCGGAAACAACTGCCGCCTCGGCGACTGCGGTGGTGCGGAAGCTGGGAAAGGAGGAGGGATCGCCATGGCCGAGAGGGATAACCGGCCTGGCGTCTGATCTGTCGATATTGGAGCGGAGGAGGTCGACAGTACTCCGGATATTCCTGCTGGCGGCGTCCCTCAGCTTCGGGTTGAAGTCGAACCTCCATGGCTTCCGCTCCATCCCGTTCTCCGCCATTGTTGCTGCAGAGTGACGGAGCACACTGTCCACGACAAAGATGAAGAAACCTCTTCGCCGACATCAGGGAGGCAGATACTTGTATAATAGGCTGTGCTGACTGAGCCTATTCAGCCCATTAGATACTCGTCCTGACTGGGTCTTATTCTCCCTCGGCGGGCCCCGAATCGGATATCGGCCCGTTTTGGCCCGATATAGGCCCATTATGCGTTCGATGAAAGTAGTACCGCAGATCAGTTTAACTAAGCCGTTCCGGGCTCTGAGAGAGAAATCCGAGCGTTCATTCTATCGTTTCCTCTTTCAGATTTAGCGGAACCACCGGGTGGAATAAATGTTTCGCGCAGTACCGTACATTGGCCCAATCAGACGCCGTCATCGTTCTCTGTTCCTCCCGAAAGGGCCATTTAAAAAGGCGACGAATGCACAGTGGGAGTGGCATCGACTGTTGCCATCGCCATTGCGTCGCCAGCTCGGGAGGAGTTTCTAGGTTTAGGGTTCCATCTGTGTTCTCCTTCATCGGTCACCCGCAGGATGTCGGCAGCGCCGGCGGCGGGGAAGCAGCAGCAACGGCAAGGAGGCGGCGCTGGGGTGCCTACGAAGCGGAAGCCGGTGTTCATCAAGGTGGATCAGCTGAAGCCGGGGACGAGCGGGCACACCCTAACGGTGAAGGTGGTGGACGCGAAGATGGTGATGCAGAAGGGGCGGCCGACGGCGGCGCACCTCCGACTGACCAAGATCGCCGAGTGCCTCGTGGGGGACGAGACGGGTACCATCGTTTTCACGGCCAGGAACGAGCAAGGTTCGCCTCTCTCAGTCTGTCCTCCCGTCGAATCTTTCCTTCTCCGATCCTGTTCGAATCTAATTTCGAATATTTTTATGCACGATTATGAGAAATAATTTCAAATACAAAATGCTCTTGATGTGACTAGGCATCAGATCTTGCTCTGTTCCATATTTTATTGTATTCTAGATGTAACTAGAAATCCGTTTACGGGTGTTACACGGTTAGAGTTTCGCAATTTTCTCTAACCATTCATGGTGCCTGCTTTGCATGGAGGTCATCAATCCTACCCGGTTTTGATTCTGATATTCATTTAGATATGGGATGATGGGACCAAGAGGATTCCCTATATCACATGCGATCCAATGACGGGGAACATTCAGTGTTGACTTTGGGGTTCTCTTCGCCTTTTTTGGCAGCTGAGATTTGATTTAAAAAATAATTTTCTCTTCAATTCAATATGACAACATTAAATGTCCCCATGAACTCTTTGAGCCTTTCCATTCCCTCTCATGCTTCAAAAATTTCTTAGTTTTTCCATTTATTACAGAACGGCGGTGTGTAAATTTTATCATGTTGATTTACTTTTTGGTCTGAGAATTAAAGCTGATATTTTCTTGTTAATATATGTTTCAACGGGGGGTCCTCAGAGGGTGATCGATTTTTTCTTTAACCCACAATTCATTAGGCTAATGACTAAAATTGATCAGTTTGACCTCGCAAGAATGTCAGCTGCTACCATCTCAATTCAGGTTGAAGTTAGGATTACGCGGGTATTTAATAAATTTTAAAATAATCGGCGAGTGAGATATCAAGTATCTTGCATTTCTTTTTAATGTGGTTGCCAACTCCTACCTGCATTGATGGGGGTCTTTTCAGATAGCTTATTTTTTTTCTTTTTCGCTTTCCATATACATCACTAGATGGCGATATGTTAATATCTGTAGCTTGACCTTTTGTCTTCTTATCTTAAATATTTTCTGCTCTGTGACCCTGTTCACACCTACCTTCTATACCCTTGTCCACAGAAATTATGCGAAGATATAAAATAAACGTTCTGTAAAGAGATTCTGTAGATTTTACCGATCCACTTAATCGTAACCTGTTGTACCCAATACTGACTAGAATGTTGGAGGGTGTTCATGCATCTTACTTACGGATATTTTTAGCTTGTTTACGTGTAATTATGTGCCTGTACTTCAATAACAAGGCCTGAAGTTGCCTTTTCTTTTCCCCTTCTAAGCAGCTTTGACTTCAGCTGTTATCTGTTTTATGGGCATATTTTTCAATTGATAATTCGAACAGAACTATTTTATGAGTTTTTGTCCCTAAATCTTGGCGGATTGGATCTTTGTTCAGTCCTTGATAAAGCATAGTTGTAGATGATCTCATACTGTAGATTATGGATGGCGATGTTAATTAGACATCAATTTTCCTCCCCCCCCATCTTTTAGGAAATGAATCCGCGTCAATATATATATATATATTTTCTATTTTCGCAGTGGATCTGATGAAACCAGGAGCCACGATCATCCTCCGGAATGCCAAGATCGACATGTTCAAGGGCTCAATGAGGTTGGCTGTCGATAAGTGGGGCCGCGTTGAAGTTGCCGAGCCCGCTGTTTTCTCAGTGAAGGATGACAACAACCTCTCCCTGGTCGAGTACGAGCTAGTCAACGTCGTGGAGGAGTGACCTCCAGCCCAAACTCGGACGCGTCTTATCCCATTGGTCAGTCGCGCTTTCTCTCTCTCTTTCTCTCGACCTTGGATGCTGCAGAAGAAAGTTAGAGCTTGGTGAGTCAGTACGGTCGTTTGTCTTCCCCATCGTGATTCGAGGTAGTTTACGGCGTCTGGGAGCCATGATTTGCCAAATATCTATATATTACTCGTTGAGTCCTCGATTTTTGAGGCGAAATTACCATTTGTTCTTATAAAAAAGATCAATCTTCTGCCCATTCAACGCTTCGGGTCCTCTGGTCTTTCCCGGAAGCAGGGGGGGGAGGGTCGTCGTCCTAATCCCGTGGATTGCGTGGCGGCTTCATCCAGGGATGTGTATGAAGGTCAACTCGACTGAGGTTTAAGCGTCTTTTCTATTGACTGTAGACGGAGATTCATGACGGGGGATAGTTCGTCAGTTCAGTTTTTTAATTCTGGGCGAGTGGAAATTAATATCCCTGGCGACTTTGTCTGGTTAGCTGGTCGTCGCCCTGAGTATATCTTCTCAGCCTTCTTCCTCATCCATTCCAGGCTCTGCAAGCTCCCCTAGAGGAGGAAGTTAGCGGAGGGGGGGAGTTGCAGAGAGAGACGCCAGAGCCGGAAGGTCGAGGGGTTGACCTGGGGAGATGGGGGTTGACTACTACAAGCTCCTGCAGATCGGCGAGGACGCCGGCGAGGAGGAGATTAGGAAGGCCTACCGGCGGCTGGCCATGAAGTGGCACCCCGACAAGAACCCCCGCGACAATAAGGAGGCGGAGGCCAAGTTCAAGCAGATCTCCGAAGCTTGCGACGTAATACAGCGCCGCCCATCTCTCTCTCTCTGTCTCCTGTTCTCGCTGATTTCACGAAGCCCTTGTGATGGTTTCGACGTCGCAGGTCCTGACCGATCCGCTCAAGCGGGCAGCGTATGACGAGCAGTGGGGGAGGGGAAGGAAGGGGAAGGTTCCGCCGGCGGCGGGAGGAAGAGGGGGGGGCTCCTCCTCCGACGGCGACGAGATGTTCTCAGAATTCTACGGGTCCTCCGGCACGTTCCGCCGCGGCGGCGGCGGCGGAGGCAGTGGGAGAAGGGCGAAATGGTTCCCCGGCGCTGCGCCGGCGAGGTTCGGAGAGAACCTCTTCAGGAAGATCTTCGGCGACGAGGAGGACTTCGCTAGCTACCAGCAGCCCAGGAAGGCGGAGCCCATCGAGAGGTACCTTTCTTGCAGCCTCGAAGAACTCTTCAACGGAACCACGAAGAAGATGAAGATCACCCGCCTGATCCTCGACGCCAGCGGGTCGGTGATTAATTCTTCCATCCTCAGAACAAAAAAGAAAAATAGATCCTCCCTTGCGAAGTTCTCATCATCTTGATGATCATGGTTTTCGGCTCTGAGCAGGAGGACGTTACCAGTGGACGAGATCCTGCCGGTGGACATACGGCGGGGGTGGAAGAAGGGGACGAGGATCACCTTCCCAGAGAAGGGCGACGAGGCGCTGGACTTCGTCCCTGCGGACATCGTCTTCATCATCGACGAGAAGCCGCACGGAGTTTTCACGAGGGAGGATAACGATCTCGTCTTCACGAAGAGGATCTCCTTGGCGGAGGCGCTGACCGGGTTCACCGTCCGCCTGACGACGCTCGACGGAAGGGAGCTCGCCGTCGACGTCGACGACGTCGTCCACCCTGGCTACGAGAAGGTCGTCGCTGGCGAGGGGATGCCGGTGGGGAAAGACTCTTCACGGCGGGGGAACCTCAGGATCCGCTTCGTCACCGTGTTCCCGGCGAAGCTCACGGCGACGCAGAAGTCCGTCGTCCGGCGAATGTTCACCGGATAAGCGATCACCAAGGTGAAGTGAAGCAGACAGACGGAAACGTCTTCTTTCTCTATGGGGCTTTGTTTTTTCTCTCTCTAGTTTTCAGATGGGTCGGACCGCCGGTGACCTCGGATCTCCATTTTAGCAGAGGACAGGGGATCACCACCATGTACAGTGCCTGGGCCTTCGTCGGCGCTCTCTTCCACCCTCAATTTGGGTTTGGCTTGTGGAGGAAGGTGCTGCGAAGAGGATGCCCGCACTCTCTCTCTCTTTCTCACCATCTTCTCGGATTGCGGTGTGATTCTCTACTGTACAATCTCTATCAACGGAAGCAAAGTGCAACAGGTTCCCATCATTAAAATAATCACATGAGGCCGCCGTGCGATCTTGTAAGACCTTGACATAATGAACGATTGACGACGACGACTACGAGGTGACGGCGGAGGCGAGGAGGAAGCTTCGTCTTGGATTACAACGACTCCCTCCTCCCGATATTTCAGTGGCAGCGTGGTTGACTTAAAAACTCTGGCTGATGACGCCATGCTGCTGTGATGGCGTCACCATCACACTCCTCGCCGTAAACCGGTTTCTAATATGGGGGTCTGACCTGCCGTTAAGCTGGGCCAATCACGGACTCGGGGAGGGTTTGATTGTTCAACGCTTCTTCCGTCCCGCCCAAATATATGGCCGACCCGAGGGACCGGGCCCAGGCCCGATCACGCGAACGTCCCCTAAGTACGACGTGGACTGCGTGTCAATTAGTTTTATTTTTTTAATGTATTGACTTATTATATTATTATGGACTTTACGAAATGGGACCGTTTATCTGAAACGCAATGGGAGCCGTACGATGGCTTTGGTCTTTGAAACGCTGCATGAGCCCGCCGAAACTTTGTGGGAGCCGCCTCTTCTGAGGAAGGGCAGGTGGGATGGATCTGCCCTAGCTAATGCTGGCTTTCTATTTCCATGAGCTCTCATCGGATCGGAGGTTGCTGGACTTCCCTTTACGATATAGATAGAGAGAGGAAACAGACGAGAGAGAGAGAGACAGAGAGAGAGAGAGAGAGAGAGAGAGAGAGAGATGGTTGGGGCTTCCCTGTTGGTGCATGCCTTGTACGACACTCCAGGGGGCGATTCCGGGGATGGAACTTTGCTTTGGACCTCCCCTCTTTCTAGTTCTCAGCCTCTTCCTCTGCCCATCTGCTCTGGGCGGAGCGGTGAAACGTCCCTCGCGAATCTTCATTCCCAAATCTCCACTCCACCCGGTTGTTCCACCTCGTCCAACCTCTCTTTCCTTTCGGTGGTATCTCTTCGTCTGTCTGTTTCTTTCTCTCTCTCTCTCTCTCTCTCTCTCTCTCTACATGCCTATCTCTATCTATCCCATCTCAGACTCGCACGCGCGGAGACTCCGCCTGCTCCGTCTTTTGTTTCTTTTCCAACTCGGGATCGTAGATTTGTAATCGCCGTGGCTTCTTTCCTTCAAGGGTTGGAGGAAGAGTGGCGCTAAAAAGTGGAGAGGGGATTCTATTCCCTCCTCTGAGTTCAGGAAGAAGCAAGGAGTCGGAATCCTGTGCTTTAAGAGAGCTCCCAGTGCTCTCCGCTTTTATTTTTCTCGTTTTTCTTCCTCTCACTCCGAGGTTGTCCCTGGAAACATCTTCTGCGTGTCCTATCTCGTTCGCTTGATCTCCGCTGGTTGTGAAGGTATGAGAGACTGATCGAGAAGATGAGGTGGTGCAATCGCCGTGACGACGATGACGACGCTGGCCATGAAGCCGAGAAGAAGCCAGCTTCTTCAGCCGACCAGAACTCGCCGAGGAAGACGACGACTCGGGCTTGCCCGTCCTGCGGCCATCGTATCCAACCTCAAGAACAGGTCTCTGTGTTCTCATCAGAATGACTCGACTCGCGTGGATTTCCATAACTTGAAATCGATCGGTGGCGATTCCAGGCGACGATCCAAGATCTGCCGGGGCTTCCGGCCGGCGTGAAGTTCGATCCAACGGACCAAGAGCTGCTCGAGCATCTGGAGGGGAAGGCCAGGCCTGAGACGACGAAGCTGCACCCTCTCGTAGACGAGTTCATCCCCACAATCGAGGGGGAGACCGGCATTTGCTATACCCATCCAGATAAACTTCCCGGTAATCAATCTACCCAGTTATGCATATACATCCATGCCCACAGTCATACTAATCCTGGTGATATATGTGCCTGTATATTCCTACGTGTATGTCCTTTCGGTTCGTCTAACTCAAATCTGTTCTCGTCCAGACGACTCCATGAGAACCACCCATCATATGTTACGGAGGGTAAACGCGGGAATGAGTCGCAGTGGACTCCGACTATTCTCCACGAAATTGAAGCCTGGATATCTTGTTTTCTGGCCATCTAAACTTTGGTTATTCAAAACAATGAGCATATTTTGACGCCACAAATGTCACACCAAGTTGGGTTTTCTCCAAAAATGTCACATCGTAATTTAATTATCATTAAGGTTATAGTCGCAACCATATTTTAATTACTGAAGATTGTATGGTTTCCTGATGTGTCATCGGGTCGAGTCACAAGACTATGACCCTGCCAGGACATGAGGCTAGGGATCATAGTCGGATCCAGAAGGGTCCATAAAAATACTTGATTTTAATTAATTTTATATGGAAAATCTTCTCCAAGACGATTTCCTGCCAAGCAATTTTGTATAATTCTGGTAGCCATCTCATTGATGACGAGTGAAAAACCTCGCATTTCTTAGATAAACAGAGACCCTCACCATAATTTGTCTATTTCTTCATTTTGCATGGTGGGTGACGCGGACAGGGGTGAGGAAAGACGGCCTGGTGCGGCACTTCTTCCACAGGCCTTCCAAGGCCTACACGACGGGTAACCGGAAGCGGCGGAAGGTCCACGCCGGCGCGCAGGGCGGCGAGACGCGGTGGCACAAGACCGGTAAGACCCGTCCTGTGCTGGCCAACGGGAGGCTGGTCGGTTACAAGAAGATTCTGGTGCTCTACGCCGGCAGCGGCAAGCAGAGGAAGCCGGAGAAGACGAGCTGGGTGATGCACCAGTACCACCTCGGCCCCGGAGAAGAGGAGAGGGATGGGGAACTGGTGGTCTCCAAGGTCTTCTACCAGACGCAGCCGAGGCAGTGCGGTGGCGCCGGAGCGAGGGCGCCGTCTCAGACGAACGGGAGCAGCGCCCGGAAGGGAGGAGGCGAGAACCCCACGGTCGTCGATGGTGCTGAAGTAGTTGAACACCTTAATGCCTCCCTCATCTTCTGCAACCACGGTACCAGCTGTTAATGGCGGAGGTGGCATCATAAAACGGGTCACTACATGTAGGGCCAATTTATTTTAAGATTTCAATCCCGGAAAGGGCAATGATGTACACACCACAAAAATCATTTCGAGAATCTGTTAACACCTCACTATGATATTCGTACGTGTTATGTGCCATTCATTTAAAGGTAATCCAACCTCTGAATTCGCAGCTCATATTGCTTGATGCCTGGTGGGACATTCTGTCGTAGATATAGCGTTATAACATGCACGTTGTGATTGTGGATCTGCATACACTTTGAGATATCTGGAAAAAGATATTTTCAAACGCAACCACCTTGAGACTACTGAGTAATCCAAGTAAGCTAATCCTTCAAAACTTGAGACGTATGCTACGTCTAAAAATTAAGACCAAAATCGATGCATTTTTTAACTAATTGGAGAAAAATCCTCTCAATTTATTCTCCTTCCAATCATAGTATTTCCAAAGGGTGTACTTCCTAATTAGGAGACATTCCAAGTAGAGAGATTATGTGAACACATCTCAAGATTGCAATGGAAATACTATAGTGATATAGATTCTGAATATCCCCCTCATCACTCTGGATCAATTTTATGTCATACCTTCTTCTAAGTTTCTTCTCAACTTTCACAAACATGCATTTTACATAGGATGCTAATTCATTAAATCATGCTCAAGCGGTTGCATAGAATGGCTACACATTGTACAATCTCATTTACCAAAATGCACCCACCTTTTATATAAGATTATTTTTTATGAGAAAAATTAATCCTTTTAATATTTTTGTAAAATTTGCAAAAAAGATTTCATACTTTCATGTTGGTATAGTTCTAGATTGTATAGTTCTAGAGGAGGGGGTGAATTGAATGTTTTCTTCTATATGGTAATCAATATTGGACAAAAATAATCATGATTCACACTTGATTTTATAGTTGTTTGGTATATCAAGCCTACTTCACTCTCTGATTGTAGGATTTCAACAGCCAATCATTGAATATAGAAGCCTCAATGGGCCTACGTGTTAGACTATATGGGTCCAATGACCAAAAACTGAATATAGTTATAAAAACCTATATATTAGATTATATAGTTACAAAAACCAGCCTATATTGGATATGTGGAGCCTAATAAGCCTCTATGTTGAAGGTAAAGGTATCAACCAACCTAGCTCATGGCTTCATTGCTTAAATAACCATTCTCTTAAGTGGAAAAAGATTCAAATGGAGATTGAGTCGTTTTCGTCTACTCAAGGGTGAAGAATTTGTCTTGACTCTTTGGAGGAAGAATGTGGTGGGGTGAGAAGCTCTCTCTTAGATTTTCCTTTGGTTTTTTTGCTCAGGCCTTACTTTAGGCTAACAGTTCTCTTGTGTACCCAACTTAATGGACTGTAATGGTCATCATAATGATTAGCTGGGTGATCAGCCATTGGGCAGTCCTTGCGCTTGGAATTTGAATAAAAAAAAATGTTGCCTTATGTCGTGAAATTCATAAAACTTTGAAACATTCAAATTTATTTGTTACATAGTGTTCCTACTTGAATTGGCTTTCCAAAAACCTTCAAACGGTTGCATGCCCATATCTATGGAATCATCCTGAAACTAAAAACCAATTTTAGTCATATAGACTATTTTTCCTTGAGTGATTTTCCTTGTTTAATCATCTGACTTAATCTGTGATACTTAACACTTTAATCATACTATACTTTATTTTTCATAGATTATCAAATTGTGCTGTCATAATATCAAATTATTTGAGCTTAGAAGAAAGATTCATCTTGAGATTCTAAAATCCACATTATTTTTATGTGTGCTTCATATAAATAAGCCTAATAACAATTTAGACAAACTTTTAATGTGACTCCATATTTTATTTTAGTCTTGTTGATTCTTTTACCTTCATGTCAATCTAAATGAATTGATTATTTCAAGATCAAATATCAACAAAAAGGTTTCGAAAAGTATGAAAAGTATTAATCAAAATGAATTGATGCTTAATAGGCCTAATGATATAAAGAATAGTTTTATCTTTATTTTCATACATAATCATATTTAATCATACTCCACCATATCTGAGCTGAGTTTTGAACTTTCCTACATAGACAACTGAAATCAATTAAGCCTAATTGAGAAAAAAATCATCATCTCAATGTCATGCTAGGCTAACAAGCCATCCCTATCAAAACTAATTGGCAATGAGTGCATTATGCTTCATCTACATAGCTATATGTTTTAAATTACTAAAGTGAAGTTGTTGTCAAAATACTTGTAAAATTAATGAGAGATATTTTATAATTATATTTTATATATTAGTGAATTATATATATTAAAATTAACATAAATAATATATAAGTTATTTATAAGAACATAGATATCAAAGGCCTTCTTGGTCCCAAATTGGCAAGGTTGTGTGTGTAGAGAAAGGGGAGGAAGAGGGGTGCAATGACTATTTATTATCTTTACTCTTGATAGTTATATGTTTTAACTAAATTATTCTGACGGGATCAACTTGAAGGATTGACTCACTAAAAAATAGTAAACAAGAAATTTTTTTTTATAATAGAATGGGCTTATCTAACCTATGTCTACTTACAAGGCCCTAAGTTTCTATTATACTCTTCATAGAACATTTGCTGAAATTCACAAGATCAACAAAACTCCTTACACCATAGATTAAATATGTTTATCTCTCAAACACAATGGTACTAAATACCTTATATTTTTACTAGTACTCTTCCTGAGTGATTTCACTCATAAAGATGTGAAATAGTTAACTTACACATTATCCTCATACTTGAAAGAAGCCCTTCATAAGCTAGAAAGACTTGGGTGTTTGAAAGTTTGTTGCAGCTTGGGCATCACAACACTTGGTTTGTAGAAAGAGAGATGGGATTTAGAGCATGAATTGACTAAGTTTGATATTGTGTTTAGCTTAAAAACTGGACTTTGAAACAAGTGGGATCAGATCCAAGGAAAGATTTGTTGAGTCAAACTTCCGTTGACTTGCATGATTCTCTATGCTTTTAGTATACTTTTTCTTTGATTTTTGATCTTTTGATATTTTGACACTAGTAAATAACTTCATATTGCAAGCCATGTTTGACTTCAAAGAGAAATCCCTTTTTATCTCTATCTTAGGTTTGACTCATCAGGTAATGGATACACCCATTAAGTCATTAATACATTTTTCTCTCCAAAATGTTTTCTTTTTCTCATAATTTCCTTTTCTCCATGTTGACCTCTTCTTGAGTATTTCCTTTTATGATTTATACTGAAAACACAACCAAACAACAAATGGATTGGTTCTAATAATCTTGATCTTCATCCAACCATTATTATAACAAGAAGATATTTATGATCTCTTTATTTTTATTTCTATTAGTAAACATCAATTTTTTTTATAGAAATAGCCATTTCCCTAGATATGAGATTAATATTCATGTATTGTTTGTCTTTTCTTTTAGTGTATATTTCATGAATCATTCTCGTAGTCTACTAAAGTGGCTGCCATATTTCAGTAGGACACCTCTGTTTTTATATTCTCTTGATGTCTCCATCCATCTTCCTATCCCTTTCTCTACCTCTCTTTTCCCTTCCCCCCCCCCCCCTCCCACCCCTTTGATGATGAGCATGGTGTCTGACTTAGGTTTTGATAAGCTCCATTTTGGACTTGTGAACTCATTTCATGACAAGCATCAATGCATAGGGAGAGTCAAACCTAAGCTTCATAACAGTCTAACCCATTATCTAGTTTGGGGCTTGTAAGAGGCCTGAGGCATTGGGCTGGCTTCTTCAATCATCATTTTTTTCCCAGCCTATGGACACTTCTAGTCATCAAGGGATGAAGTCTTGCTCATCTTACATTGAGTTGGGTTTCAAGATTTCAAGTGAAATAGTGTATTTGACAAGAATATCACCCTTACCAACAAACTCATCATCATCATCATAAGATAATTATCAGTTTTTAAATATGTACAGGGTTCCTCACGATCATTTCAAGTATAGGACATGTGATTATGCTGAGGTTATACAATGACAAAGGATCATATGGCAGATGAGGCTGCAATTTGAGTGACGCCAGCTTGAACCCAATCGATTCTTGAACTAAGTTCGATCTTATCTAACCGGATTTTAAATGTATAGATATGCTGAGATTTTTGTAGATAAATTAATAGAACATCATATTTTATTGAGTTGAAGTGAGCATGGCCAATCTCAGCCCAACTCATAACTATAGGACAAGTCAGAGACTGTCCGCGTTTTTTTGTTGGACTTGATGGATGGGGCCCAATCAAGGTTTGTGGCCCGAAATGCACAGAATTGACTTTGCACCTTCTTTATTCTAAATTAACTCGGAACTGCAGGTTCGAGAAAGCCCATCATACTTAGAAGAGGTTTGCGATGTGACTCATCGCAGCGGTTTGATCACGGATACTCATGAATAAAGGAATAGTGTTGAAGATGTTAGAACTTAATTTATTAATTACCCTCTTAATAATAATGTTATGCTCATAATTAAGATGGGGATGCGTTTGTGAATTATAATTATTTCTTTTCCATGAAAGATTTTCCCCTAAGCTTCTAACTAACCCGTCAAGTTGATCTTCCAGCTCAGTTCTTGATTTCTACGTACAATCGACAATGTTCTATTATTATAAAAGACTAAGTTTTAAATTCCACTGTACTTATTGACGTACTGGGGAAGTGTTCGAGAAGAGGGAGTGGAGATTTAGGGAGATCTCTCGTTAGCATTTTGTCAAACGATGGCGGTACCCTTTTTTTACTTGGGATTGGGTTCTGAGAGGAACTACAGAAGCGATGATAACGTGATCTGGGGGGAAGAAGGTCGACCGAGTTGGCGTGTTGAGTGACGTATCAAGATCGCTGGATCCCGAAGCATCGGCTCAGGTCTGAATCATGCTCCTGACCCTAGAAAGGCAGATAGGGACGTTGATGGTGCGAACTCCACCGCCTGTTGCTGTCCCGTTACATTTCTCAATTGTTCACGTTTTTTCCTTTATCTTCGATACAAATCAACGATGGTGGTCGCTTGGATCAAGGAAAGTCAAAGGTGCTATCCTCGAGTCAATCAGCAGCGATAACTCTCTTTCTTTTCCTGTCTGTCTCCATCTGTCTACATCCCTTCCTCTCGCTCTCTTTCTCTTCGTGAGTCCATCTGCCTTCGTCTCTGTCCTCATTTTCTGTCTCCCAGCTTGTCCATCGGCTCTCTCCAGGATGAGCCCCATTGAATGTATTTTTTGACGGTAGCCAACGTCAGTGACGGCATGCCGCTTCACCAATGTGGAAGGTACATCCGTACTTGTCCTATTTTAATCCAGCATCTTCCGCTGCCGACCTGTCAAATGTACGGAACACCTCACACGCTGAAGTCTTCGGTGGGTGGCCACCTCCATTCAGCGACCCTCGTGGCCACATGCGAGGAGGTCATCACCAATCCTTTCTTCCTCCGTCCGCGAAGGAAAACGATACCCGCCGGCGTGGTTAAGCTGGTCCAATCGGGGAACACGCGTAGGTCGCGTTTTTGTCTTGTTGAAGGACCACGATAACCGGGGGAAAGGACGAGAGGAATTGACTTCGAGAACCTGTGGCAAAGGGGACAGACAGGGGCGTGGGCTGCACAGGCTGATCTGCAAAGTTTGTGTGTTCCCGCTAGGTTCTCGGTAAGTTAAACGGAAACATCGAATTCCGTCAAGCTGTGTGAATTTTATACCATAAGATCGTCTTGTAGCTCTGAAACGGTGACAGCAAGAAATGACTGTTCGGCCTTTATAAATCTCCCGTTCTTCCAACTTTCCCGCTCTTATGATCTCTCTGAGCGTTTATATGCGTCCTTTGGCTGCCAATTCATCGCCTCGGATTCGAAGAACGTTATCTCCCGTTCATCCTCTGGACGCAGGCGATGGCGGGAGGGAGCTCCTTGGAAACAACGCCGACTTGGGCTGTCGCCGCCGTCAGCTGCGTCTTCATCCTCGTCGCCATCCTCGTAGAGCATGCTCTCCATCTCCTGTCTGCGGTACGCAGCGGTTCACGTCCCCCCCTCTCCCCCCCCTCTCTCTCTCTCTCTCTCTCTCGCTCTCTACTGAGACTGTCGCTTGCGCTCTCCACTATTGCAGTTCCTCGAGAGGAGAAAGAGGAAGACGCTGAATCGGGCCCTCTACCACATACAAGCAGGTGAAGCCAACTGACAGCTCCGCTGCGATAGGTTTCATTTGCCAGACTTCCGTGCTTGGATTTCTCGTGATATATTCATTAAATCTAATCGTAGTTGAATTTATGTGATCTGCTGTCATCCGGAGAGAAGAACTGAGGAGCTTCGGTTTCATGTCCCTCGTGCTCAACGTTGCCCAGCAACCTATCTCGAAGATCTGCATTCCCGAGGGCGTAGCCGAGTCCTTCCTCCCTTGCGAGGAATTCGATTCCTCCAGCGACTCACCGAAGGATAATTCATGCCCAGAGGTGATCGATTTGCCTTCCAAAAATACCTTTCAGTTCGTCCAAGATCGCTCTCCTTTCTCTCAATAGAAATTTGCCGATGAATAGGGAAGGGTGCCTCTCTTGTCAACCAGAGGCACCGACCAGCTGCTGTTGCTGATATTCATGCTGGCCGCGTCTCATGTTCTCACCTCCCTCCTCACCTTCGGGCTGATGATGGCCAAGGTAATCTCTCTACCCTGAACTGACGAGAGAGAAAATTTCTCCGTTTGGGAAGTCAGATTGACGAGCCGGAAAAATCTTCGTAGATGAAGAAATGGGAGTCGTGGGAAGAGGAGACTCAAACTCTGGACTACCAGCTGTCCACGGGTAAATTTGACAAATGCTGTCTCTTAATCTCCCTATGATTTAATATCTTCTTCATTGATGTGGTCACTTCGTCCGAATCGTGTAGATCCCAGGAGATTCACGCTGGCTCGGGAGACATCCTTCGGGAGACGCCATCTGCAGTTCTGGAGGGACCATCGGAAGCTTCTCTGGATCGTCCGTTGACTCCCCTCCTACACCCCATCTGATTATCTCGATGATCCCTAAGATGATAATATACATCTACTATATGGCTAACGGACAATCCATATGTTCTTCCTCGCAGGGCTGTTTTCTTCGCCAGTTCGGGAACTCGGTCTCAAAAGCCGACTACCTCGCTCTCCGCCATGGATTCATCATGGTGAGCTGCGGATCCGGGGAAGTTTTCACGTTTGAAAGGCGTCTTTTCCTAAACTTTTAATTCTTTTGCGTCTCCTGTAGACCCATTTCCCTCAAAATCAAAGGTTTGACTTCCGCAAGTTTCTGAGGAAATCGTTAGATCATGACTTCTCGGACGTGGCTGGAATCAGGTCATCTCTCTTAATCTGTTTCCTGCCATCACATTATTTAAGGCGGCGGAAGATCTCTTCTTCATTAATCTGGACTTTGAAGTCCAGGACCATAACTCTGACTTTTTCCACGAAATTTTCATCTTTTGCAGTCACTGGAGCTGGACGTACGCCATCCTATTTATATTTTCAAATGCACACGGTATGGCACTAATAAATTATACTTTTGACCGTTTCAGCCCTGAAGGAATACTTCTACTCCGAAGAGGGGGAGGGCGGGGGGTATTAATGGAGATCTGGTGGTACCTCTGTGTATAGCAATAGCCATTTGAAGGGTTAAAGATGAGAGAGACTCCTCGAACTAGGGTCGTCGTAGTCTTCGCAGAAATCTCTCACCCAATATTCACCAATCTCTCATTATTTTTTCTATTGTTCGGTTGTGATGCAGGGTTCTACAGCCACTTCTGGTTGCCGATCCTTCCTCTAATGGTGAGACCTTCGAACTCTGTTGGCTACACAGCTCTGCGAAGAGAGAAGCTCTCTGCTGAGGGATGAACGGCCAACTCTACTTGCAGATCCTTTTGATCGTAGGCACGAAGCTGGAGCTAACCATTACGAGGCTCTGCCTGGAGAGCAGCTCCGATGATTCTGTCCTCCCCGGAACGTTCTGGGTGAGACCCAACGACAGCCTTTTCTGGTTCCGCAAACCCCGTTGGATCCTGCACACTATCCATTTCATAATGTTCCAGGTATACCGACCATATCCATAAACACAAGCATCGATTCAATCGTGGGTTTGGATACACGATATATTTAGATGTAAATATATATATAGAGAGAGAGAGGTAAAACTTTGTTATACGGATCTGAATTTAGGGCAAGTATTAAGTTATTACTTGTAACATTAAAGAATCGATTTTGTATTCATTTCTTGATTTGTTTTTTGTGTGGGTTTGGATGCAGAACGCCTTCCAGCTAGCCGTCTTTGTCTGGACATGGGTACGGATTCTATGATCCCTCCATCTTCTTTCACAGTCTCTCCCTCCCAAAAAACCAACCAAACTCCTTTTTCTGTTCAACAGTACAAGTTTGGGTTCCCTTCCTGCTACCACCGGAAGACGGAGGACATTGCCCTCAGCATGGGGGTCGGAGGGTTGGTCCAGATCCTCTGTGCCTACGTGACTCTCCCTCTCTACGCGCTTGTCTCCCGGGTAACCCACCGAAGAATTATATCCCCCGGCACCATCGCAGGAGTCGCAGAAATCATATTTCTGATCATCAAAACCAATGCGGATCAAAACAGGTGGGCTCTTCAAAGACGGACACGATCTTCACCGAAGAAGTCGTGAAGGGTCTCAGGAACTGGCGGAGGGCAGCCAAGAGGAGGAACCTTGTGATGACCGGGCAGAACTCCGGGAGCTTCTACCCCGCAGAGCCCGAGTCGGTGTCGTCGTCCACCTCTTCTCCGTCGCCGTATTTCCGATCCAAGGAGACGACGGATGAGCCGGAGGCGTCTCCTCCCCCGCCAGCAGGCCGCTCGTTGTCCATCTCAGAGACGTCGACTGATCCAGGGGAACCAGGGAAACCAGGGAAACCAGAGGAACCATCAATGGAGATAACCGCAGAAGAGGAAGACCAGCAAACTCCACCCTCATCAGATATTCCTCCCCTGTTTGAGCGGATGCCGGCGGAGACAGTGGAGGCGCCGCCGCCGGCCGGAGAGATCACACCGGCGGAGCCCGACGCAGCAGCGTCGTCGAGGCTGGAAGTGTACAGAGAGACATACGATGGGGAGATATCCTTCGGGATGTGGCGCCACCCTGGTTGTAGAGGCAACCGTCCTCCGTTGTGGGACGTTGCTGGACGACCCTAGAAGCCCGGCAGTCTATGGATCTCTCAGGGCTTCCTCTTGGTTGTCCAATGATGGGAACTCTCGAGTTCCTTGAGGATGGTCAGAGTTAAATTTCAGTTCATTTTTTTCCTTTTTTTTAATTTCATATAAATATATGTATATATATTTCATTTCTATAATCCATCGTATACTATAAATATGCCCTTTTCAGTCTCTGTAAAATAGACTATTCGGACTAATGGCCCCTTTAAAGCGCCAGTTACACTCAAAATAGCCATCAGAATTGGTCCATTAAATACCTGTAAATTGTGAAAGAAAATTCAATCACACAACAGTGCGCTTCCCCTTCCACCTCGAATGGACACCGATACGAGGTGGTTCTAAGAGTGTAGAGAGTCGACGTGAAGATCAGATGATGCCGGGGCTGGATGACAACTAACGTGATGCCTAACCTGATGACAACTAACGTGATGCTGGGTTCTTGCGGTAAAGACGTAACTCGTCAAGTTCTAAGGGAATACCGACAAATAGACGGGTTCGCGGACTAAGGAGATTAAAAATAAACGTCTTATTCTTGTGAGTCGTCGACAGAGTGGAACACCTGTTCTTGCCAGAGCCGACGTCATCATGGAGAGAGAGAGAGGAACGAAAAGTGAGCAGACGGGCAGGATGCTTCTCCCACATCAAGTAGGGCCTTCTGCTGTGTGGAAGGCCGTAACGCTAGTCAACGGCGGCCACCTTGTGGTCGATCCCCCCGGAGTCTACGGGGTGGGCTGTCTTCAATGCACCCTCAAAGTCAGCTCTCACGATCTCGGAGAAATGGGGGCAGACGGTGACATCCCAACTGTTTCTCTCCCATCGGCGGAGCCCTCTTGTGCGCCTCCCAGATGTGCTCCTGCATTGAATGCTATAGGCGAGACGGGAGCAGCGGGCGGCGACATCGGCTAATTCTTCATTAAATACCCTTGACAGCCAGAATAATGATCATGAACTCCCTCTCGAGAGCATTATCTGTAATTATTTGGCGGTTAAATCCTGCAAGTCAACCGAATCGTTGATAAGATACTTGATTTATAACTTGGACCGCTGGCGAGGTCCTTGAAACATGTCGTGTAATTTTTATTTTAGTCCACGAATATAGTTGACTCGAATTAATGTAAATTTTTCCATGAAAAAGAATGAATTAAACCCTCATAATCCGGCACTGTTGCAACGGCCATATCTTTGTTGACCCCTTCTCTCTCCTCCTCTCTCCCTCATGGTTCATCTCCAGAGTCAATGTTGGCTGTCGGTCATCTTTCCATCGACTTTTCCTCTGTCTACCGTTCTTAATGGAGGGCTGATTCTGCTGACCTTTTCTCTTCCCATCGCCCTCTCTTCCTCGTCGCCACTGTCGCCGGAATGGAGAGGGAGACAGAGAGAAGAGAGAATGGCGGGGGCGGGGCGGCATCGTCAGAGAAATTAATTTTTTTTGAAAAAAATCATACATTGATTAAAATTACGGAAACCAAAGTCCAACTGTCTCCACTGTCGCTGGAATGGAGAGAGAGAGAGAGGAGGCGTCGTCCCTTTCTACATCAATCTCTCCTCTCTCTGAAAACCAAATAACCTCAATAATTCAGCTGGTTTGCAGGGAGCTCACACCAAATTACCATATAATAAGCATATCGACATGCGAGAAGAAATATACCCGTTCCCAATGTCACAATCTCCATCCATGGCTATGCCTGCATATTTGCATTAAAATAGTTCCATCTAAGATAAAACAAAATTAAACAATTGATTAAACGGAGAAGATGCTCTAAACTGGATACTTTGTCCTGGGCTACATGTGCACATATAACCCTAAAATGGTTCATATACAATTAAACTTGTGATTACAGTAAATGGAAATCATTAACTATATTCGATGCTTATTAATTTTCAAGTTGGACAACCTGATACCTCTAAATAGGGATGAAAGGATCATTGAAACTAGACTAGAAGGACTGGAGGTTGATGCAAAAAGTTTCTGAGAGGAGTGATGCACACAGAGGAGGTGCAGAAGTCGAGTAGGATTGTCTTGTTTCTTTCAATAACTCCAACATATGGATAAAAAGTTTGATGAATTCGAATTTTTCTTTGGAGACATATTTCCAACCGAAGAAAAGAAAGATGTAACAATTGGTTGTACATTTGATATGGTCCAAGATTAATCAATAAGAGAGGATGAATCCCAAATCAAGAGAAGCCTCGTCTCATGCCAACTCAAAAGCAAACTCAAGAGTCAAATTAGACTACCAAGTGTGTCGAACTCACACCTATAAAGGAGGAAATCCAGATAAATTAATTTGATGCACGAAGCATTATATTAAGCTCAACAAGATACTGAAAGAACAAAGAGTATAAATGATCATGATGTGCCTAGACGTAGGTAGTGGTATCTATAGATGGAAGACATCCTTTCAAGAATTAGCATGACTTAAAATTTTGGCTTGAGAAGACCCTTGCACATCCTATTCTAGGAACACATCAGAGATTTCTTAACATCAACCAAGAGGGATCTATAACAACCTATAGAGAAGAACTTGAACAACTATTTACTTTTCTATCTAAGATCTCTGAAGGTATTATGGACCAAACATACCTGAAAGGTCAAAAACTGAAAATTCAAGACTACATATATACACTTGTTAGAGATTATGAATACTTTGCTACTAGCCAAAGATCATCTCCATGCTCTTTGGGAAGTATGAACATTAATTCACCAAGTTATTAGAGAATAAAGAGCACATTCACTCAACAAATACAAACTATGACAACATCACAAATCTTCTTCTCTTGGCCTGGCAATTTTTTTTCAACTATTACCAGTACCATTATATATTTGAAAATACCTAGTAATGGATTCCATCAAGATTTAACACAATCTAAGGCTTTTGGCATAAGTTGCAGTTATCTTTACTAAAGCAGTGGTTAGACCTCATGAATTTTGGAAATTAATAATCTTTGATCACAACATCCTCTTCACAAACCTTTTTTGTGAATATGAGGTTGAATTGAAAATGAGTATGTCGCATCATCCACACATAGATAAGTTGCCCGAAGTTGTCAATAGGTATCTTGGAAGTTATTTGTGATGTTTTACTTCTGAAAAAGTCAATTATTAGAGCTAGTGGTTACATTGGGTGAAATTCTGCTACAATATGGTTTTCCACTCTTTTCTATATACCATTCTATTTAATTTGGTCTATTGCTGAAATTCTTCCATCATATTTTGATATGGAATGTATCTATCACTTCTTTTTGTTATGGATCAATATTTGATGGATATAGATCAGATGTTATATATCCTCAAGGATAGACTGAGATGTGTTCAAATCATCATAAAGAGAAAAGTCAATCAACATTGTAGAGATCTTCAATTTCAAGAAATAGATGGTTTATTTGTCTCTCACTATATAGAATGAAGTCAAGGGCTCATAAGCCAAATGAGAAGTTAGTGCCACATTTTTTTAGGGCAAATAAAATTCTCAATCAAATGAGCCTGTCAATATATGGAGTAGATTTTCTGGACACATCCTCAATTCACTATGTATTTAATATTTTGTAGTTATATAGCACACTAGGATCCAATGGCTATGTTCAACACCTCTCTTTAAGCCTGATTTGAGAGTTGGAATAAAAGGTGCAATAGGAGGTTGTCCAAGTAATTTAGCCTACTTTTATAGGACCCAAAGTTGTCATAAAATGGGCAGGCCTACCCAAGTTTGAGCTTCTTTGGAAGCAACCTTCACATTGAGGGCAAATTTTCACATCATTTGGTGATTTATAAATTTTCACATTGAGGGCAAAGTAGATTTGAACAAAGGGTGTACTTATATGGTGCCGACCAAAACCTACTCGTGTCATAAGCAAAATCTCCAAAAACTCATGGAATAATAATCAAAGGCTGAACTAAGGCGATATAGATAACAGCCCATGGAGGGTGCAAGGGTAGTTACTCAGAACTTGAATGGTTAGATTAGTAGAGTGAGGGAATACTCTTGAACCCATTCCTACTTGAGATCCATTTGAACTATGGCAACTCTCTTGAACTTAATTTTATTTTTCTTCATGATCATGTTTTCTTAATTTGACCTGATCCAATCAAAGGGATTTTGACTAACTGTGTGGGGAAGAGTGATGCCATAATGTGATAGCCTCATCACAATTGAGTCATTTCTGACAGCTATTGAAATGCTCTTCCTCTTTTGTCTCTTCTTCGAGTTGCATGACACACAATACCCTACTATCAATGCATGACTTGTAAGCTATTGAAAATCACTATCATTTACCTCAATGATTTCATGCTGATCTCATACCATTGGCTCTAGTTTAGAGCATCATTCCTCACTTCTGCTAAAATGATCACCGCATAATTTCTTGTCATGATAACTTCATCAACTATTTTACTTTCTAACATCTATATTTTTTTCTTTTAGATGTGTCCACCCCACTCTTTCAATAACTTAAAAGAAATTCAATCTATTATTGAATGCCAAGACATAACTCAATGTCACCAACTTAAATAAAATTTACTATTGCTCTAAACTTGTCCTTTGATGATGTGAATTTTCCCATCTTATACTCATGACTGGCAATTGAGTATGACATAACTGAAATTGAACAATTAAAAGCATTTAGTCAGGCCTACACCATAAATTTATTTAAGTTAGATGCCTCCAGGTATCTACTAATAAACATCATGCATTTCTTATGAGTTATCCTAGTTTTGTACATATCCTCTCCTCCACCCTAACACTAAAAACAGTAAATATGTGCCTGTAACTTCCTCCAATGATGCAAAAAAAAATCCTCAGAATGAGTGGAAAAGAAGTTCCTAGTATTAAGAATGGGATAAGGATCAGGTTATAGAGTATCATTGACTTAGTATCATTTAATATTATATATTATTTATTTATTTTTAAGAATCTATGCAAAGTTATGATGATGAGTGCATGTAACTACCAAAAATAGATTAATGCGCGGAAACTCTGAATTGTGGGCTGGACTTGAAGAAAATGTCAAGATGTCTCATTTTCAATCCCAATCCCAAATAAAGGCCAACTAGAGTTTCTGTCCGGCCCATTACTATCCCAAAAATATAATTATTACCGTTGAAAAAAATTAAATAGATTTTATCAGAACATCATGAAGTTATTAAATCGTTATTAGCCAGGGACTAGAATTGGGGGTACGAGGACCAGGACAGGGCCGGTCTGGGGCCGGGACTCGAAAGAACTGTACAGGGCCCAGAACCCTGGAAATAAAGGGCCTATTGGGCCGTCTCCCAGAGCTCAGACTCCTCTCCACGCTCCTGGGTAGGGAGGCTGTCCACGTTCGACGTTGACCGCCACGCTAATCCCATGTGATGACAGGTTGTCCCCGATAGTGGTCGATCTGTTTTCGTCCTGGCATCACAGAGGAGAGAGACAGAGAGAGAGAAAGGACGTGTTATCGGGTGATGTTATCCTTCGAGAACCTGGCGAGAAACGGGTTTCTTAGGTCTCAAAATGTCATTTTTTTAGTCTTTAGTGAATAATATACCTCTTCATTCGCTTTTTTCTGACGTGGAATGTGATCAAAAGGGCCAGGAACCCCGGGCATCGATTTATTTCAATATTACTTAAATGGTTAAAATTTTATATATAGATGGTAGGAGGCCGTCGGTGAGCCCCTATCTCCCCCTCACTCTCCGACGACCGTCCCTCCCCGTCGCCGCTTCCCAACAACCGGCGGCGCCGCCATGTCTCTGCCGTCTCCTCTGCTGTGCGCGCTGGTCCTACTGGCTCTCCCCTTCCTCCTCGAGGCGCAAGTGACGCCAGCGGCGTCGCCGGAGCCGGCGGCGAATCCCGACCCAGTGGCCATCTTGGAGGGCGGTCGCCAGTACAGCAAGCTCCTCAAGCTGCTGAAGGATAAACACCTCGTCGACGGCATCGCGAACCAGTTGCAAATCTCGCCTGATGGGCTCACTATCTTCGCCCCCACCGACAAAGCCTTCAACAAGCTCCCCACCGGTGCCCTCAACAAGCTCTCGTCAGAAGAACAGACGCAGCTGCTGATGCTCCATGTAGTGGGCAGGTACTACAGCTTCGAGTTGCTCCCCACCGCCAGCAACCCCGTCCAGACGCTGGCCTCCTTATATACCCTAAACATCACCAGCGGCAACAACCAGGCAAACGTTTCCACCGGAGCGGTGAACACGCCGGTGAACACCGGCCTCTACGACAAGTTCCCCCTCGCCATCTTCCCCATCGACGCCGTCCTGATCCCGACAGAGCTGGTAGGAGGGAAGGCCCCCGCGCCAGGTGCGCCGTCGCCGGCGTCGCTGTCTGCGTCGGCAAGCTGCAGGGGGAGGAGGGTCGCCTGGGGAGTCTTCCTGGGGACTGGCCTGGCCTTCCTGGGCTTGCTCCGGTGAGAGGAGGATGCAGCGCCTCCGCGAGTCTCTGCGTCTTTCCCTCTCCTCCTTTTTCTCTCTCTTGATCTCCATCCTCTCCAGCTTCTAGCATTTGCTCTGTCTTCACTCCGTCCCTTCTCTCTCTCTCCCCCCCGCCCGATTGATTGATGTTTACAATTCCGATTTCATGTTTGCATGAGAGATCCTCGTTCGCTTATTTTCATATCTCACGATGATAGGAGAGAGAGAGAGAGAGAGAGAGAGAGAGGAAGTGGGTTAGTAGAACGAACGGCGATCACACAGTGCGGTAGTAGAACAGGACGAAAATGTTGGGATGAGTGGTGAATATCAGCCCTAATTCAGGGCAGATTAGCCGACCAATATCTGCGATGAATTGGCGGGAAGTTTGGAAGGACGTTCTCCCTCTATTTAAATTAGGGGGAATTATGTCTTCATCCCTTTACGCGGTCGCCCTAACCCCGCATAATAAATAGGAGGTGACTTCCGCCATTATATGATAGAAATATAAGGATTGAATGCATAGTCACATTCTCCCCCCCCCTCAGATCATAACCAGTAGTATTAGAGCACAGCTAACAACGGTATGGATAAACAAAGGTTTGCTCGACTGCGAGCTCTAAGATGCTCGTTGCGTAGAAGGCAATCATTGTCATTAATGTGGCCCTTTATTCGGCGGCCCATTAATGGCTACATTAAAAATTCCAGAGGATAAGCCGTCGTACGTGGGAGGTAACGGGTCCAGTTCGTTGACCGATTCCCACGGACGGAACAACTCAGTCATGGGCGGACTGGGACATACCAAAAGGCTTCAGAACGGCCGAGCCGTTTCGAGCGGACGGAGGAGAAAATCGTCTGGTTAACCGTTTCGAACTGTTAAAGGGAACGCTTCCCGAGATTCCTCCCCCGCCCTCTCCTTATCTCTTGTTGGGTGGTGAGTGCATGAAAGCCAAAGATCAAAGATTTATTCTTTGGGTTCCTACTAAGTGCTTGAAGCGTTAAGATCAGAAATTTATTTCTTATGTTCTTGGTGAGAGTTCTTTTATGCTTTTGTCCCACCTGGTGTAACGTGCATTGTCTTTGTGGATGTAAGAGGTCAACCTCTGAACTACATAAATCTTTGTGTTGATGCTCTGACTATGAGTTAATTTATTTCTTCCTTCCTATAGGTGGGTAGTGTTCCACAAGCCCACATTAAACTTTTGCTCTGACGATCATGGTGGCATCAAATGCCATGCGACATTAAGCTACATAGTGGTTCACAATGTCAAAGGACCATGATAATACACAATGTCATATAGAGTGATGTCAGAGCAACCAAAGATGAGATGTGGTGTGCAATGTCATGCTAAATGGCGTGAACATGACTGAAGGTGTGTGGTGACATGAAGTGTTGTGTGGAGAAGCATACTATAGCATGGTTGTGTTGGTGGCATGCAGATTCAGCACAAGTATACTAAACCTAAGGAGTTTCACATGTGGAGAGTAAGTAGTTGATCCACATTGATACGATAGAAGGACTAAATCAATATGAGAATGCTTGCAAATTAGCTATGCGAGGACTCTGACAAAATAGTTGGACAGCCAAAGTCATGAAAAAGCTTAGTACCTATAGACACCACACACTAGAATGGAACACAATAATCCCAGATGAGGAGATACATATCACTTTGTGCAATCACATATGGCTCGAGTGAGGATGCTCGTTGGATAACCAAATGAGAATGCTTGTAGAATGGTTAGGCAATGACATTCGCAACAAGATCAAGGTGACAGTGGTCGAAGGAGGCTTGTAATGATGTACATGTGGGTGGATGAGACATCTTGTAATGCTGAAGGACTGCTGATGGGGTGGCTAAACCGAATCATGTCACTTCTCAAGATGATGCAAATGAGTCTATCCAAGATCAAGGTCAACTTCACGTGGAGCTTCTACCAGCAACAAGAAGTCAACTCCCAAGAAGGGATCAAGAAGAGGGACCATCCCATATTGTGGGCCCATGAAGAAGAAGAGGAAGAAGAACCAAAGGAAGATGGCCCAATAGAGGAAAGCCCAATGGAAGAGGACGCATGTTCCCATGGGCCCATAAGGGAGGGTTGTGGCGCGTCCCTCTCCATAAGATGCCACCTCTTAGAGAGGTGCCTCTAACCACCTCAACCGTTTCTCCTCTTTCTTCTCTTCTCTTCCCTATTTCGTGGCTCTCCTTCCCTCCTCTATAAATGTGAGATGGAATACAATCTAAACGACATGGATGGAATACAATCTTTCTTCTATTCTCGTCTTCTTCCTGTCCTCTCTCCTGTCCTCTTCCCCCTTCTTCTTTCTTCTCCTCCGCCAGAATCCCTTCTCCCTTCTTCTTTCCGCTTCTTCCCCTTCTCCTCCGTCGGAATCCCTTACCCCTTCGTCCTCTCTATCTCTTCCCCTATTTCCTTTTCTCTCTCTTTCTCTTCTCCCAGCGTCGCCACCATTCTGTCTCCTCGTTGCTCGTCGTCATCATCCGCCTCCATGCCGTCGCTCGTCATCCCCATCCGCCTCCTCGCCGTCCGCCTTGCCACCACCATTCCGCCTCAACGCCGTCCGCCCCATCGTTCCCGTTTCCACCTTCTCGCTGCCGCCCGTCGACGACTTTCCGCCTCCTCGTCGTCCGCCTCGTCGCCGTCTTCCGTTTCCTCGCCGACCACCCGTCGCCCCTTTTCTCTCTCTTCCGCCGTCAGCACGAGAGCCGTCTCTTTTCTCTCTCCCGCTGGCGCCCTCGTTTCGCCCCTTTTCTCTCTCTCCCCCCGTCAGCACGAGACCCACCTTTCCTCTCTCTCTCTCTCTCTCTCCCGTTGACGCCCCCTCATTTCGCCTCCCTTTTCCCTCTTCGCCCCCCCTTTTACCCTTCACCCTTTAGTTAGTATTTATTTATTCATCCTCGGTTCTCGTCCCACGAGAACTCGCTGTTTCTCTCTCCCGCCGTCGCCACGTACCCCCTCATTTCCTCTCTCTCTCTTGCTCGCGCTCTCTTGATCCCTCTATCTCATTTGTACTCCTCTTTCGCCTCCTTCTCCTCTCTATTTCTCGTCTCCCCCTTTCTCTCCCATTATCTTTCCCTCACTCCTATTCTCTTCCATCTTCTTCCCTTTGTGGTTTCATCCTTTGATCATGTCTCCTTCCATCTCCATTCATCCTCTTCTTAGAGCGTGAACGAGGATCAAACCAACTATTTCAAGAATTATTAAGAGTTTTCAAATCTTTTAACAAGGTACCTTTACTTCTAAATTATATTGGAGATTGATCATATTTTATAACTCCCTTGCTTTAGAAGTGACTACCCATGGGATGACCACTAAATCTTAAAGTTTGGTGATCCATTCCCCCATAAGAAGTCTTCTCTGATTCTTTTAAGGATTAACCCTAATTAAGTTAATTAAATGACCCTAACTTTTCTTAATTGTAGGATTAGGCGTATAGACTTAAACCCCACTTTGAAAGTTTTAAAACCCCTTCTTTACAACCTTAATTTGATAATCTGATTTCCTAAATATGTCCTGCATCAACAGCACTAGAAAAAGAAAATAATAGATTGACTTGAGTGAGGTTGCTCGCTGGATAGTCAAATGAGAATGCTTGTAGAATGTATAGGCAATGACATTCACAAAGTGAGCAAGGTGACAATGATCAAAGGTTTTTAATGATGTACATGTGAACGAGACATGCTGTAATGATGGACAACACTAGAAGAAGACACAAATAGATTGACTGGAGTGAGGTTGCTTGCTGGATAGCCAAATGAAAATTCTTGCAGAATGACTATGCAACGACATTGACATAGTGACCAAGGTGGGAAATTCTAAAACACAATAATCTCTTTGAAGGGTCAATCTCCAAAGGTTTGAACACTTCTTACACTTTTCACCCCCTACCTATATGGACCCCAACTCTTTTTATAAGACAACCTAGGCGGCAAAGTGACTCGATAGGGCACTTTGGATGGCAAAATTGCCATGCCTCACATTAACACGAATAGGAATAGGAATGGCTATCATTTGTATCTGTTGTTTGTCATCAATTGACCATCTTTGAAGCATTTTTTGAGTATATCAGTGTGTAGGCTCACATTAACGCTTCCTCCAAGAAGTTTTACCTTATTTTCAAGATGTAAGTCTGTAAATTATTGTTGAACTTTTCAAGCATCCTCATAATTGGCCTCTAAATCTAGAATGTCAACCCATTGGATTAGAATTTTGACTCCATGCAATTTTTATTAGGTCACTAGAATGTCCTTTAGAGTCACAATTAATGTGATTTTTTCATCCAATTGTAATACAACGATTGACTACATTTTGTTCCTCCAATGATCTTCACTAAGTGAGATATATGAAAGATAGGACCACTTTTTGTAGTCGGTGTCAAATCCAATCAATACTCTATTGAACCAATGCATTTTAGTATCCTAACAGGGGGAGAGCCTTTTGTGGGATGTCATGTAAACAATTGAAATTGGTAGGGACGTATGTGAAGATAGATTAAATCACTCATGTTGAATTGAACATCATGGTGCCTTGTGTTTACGTGAGCCTTCATTCAGGATTGGATGTGGATTGGTAATATTTGAATTGTTCTAACACCTTGTCTCTTTCTTATAAATACTTCTCTATACTATCAATGCTTGTGTTGTGAATTTCATATTAGAGAATGATTAATAGATCACATCCTTTTACAATCTTGAATGGAGTGATGCTTATTGAAGGGTGATAGTTAGTGTTTTGCCAAAATATAACTTTAATGAGCCCCTTTACTATTGGAGACAATCGATGGAGAAGTATTATAAGTAAGTCTCAAGACTATAGTTCACCATCAACATTACCAATTATTTTAGGGTTGATAGGTGCTAATTTAACACAAATATATTCCTTGCATCTTAAGATATTCTCCTCAAAAAACGCTCATAAAAATTTCATCATGTTGTAAATGGGGATGGAGGTTGAAAACCTATGAAGACGACCTATATCTCAAAGGA